CCCTCTGGCTTGTTCATTTATTCATTTTTGAAATATTTTCATTTTCACATTGTCATAATATTATCATCTCAATTCATATAAATCACAATACCATAATATTATCATCTATATATATTAGAGTATGCAGATGCATACTCCAAAGTGATTACGTTTCATATGACTCGGCCCTATCAGTCTTGAGTCTTGAGAGGCTCTCTACCCGCATAGATTCTCTCTTAAACCGCTTTGTATCAAATCATCTAAATCTGATCGTTTTAATTCCTGGTTCCAAAATCTCATAGTATTCACAATATGTCAAAATCGCACAAATTATGCATACAAGGAATTCAAGTGTAAAAGAGAAAGGTTCTACTCCAGCCCTGTACCATCTATGGTCAGGATCCTTAATAACAATAAATAATCAATCAATGTCCGCAGCAAAAAAGGCTATGAAGGGATGAAAAGGGAGAGGGGGAAGAAAGGCAAAGAAATTGTTTTAATTATTTTTCTCTCTTCTACCGGTATTCTTATTCATTAACTTTCTCTCATCAAGACTTGGCGAATCTTCTCACGTATGTGTGTGTGGTTTTTTTTTTTGTTTTTTTTTTGTTTTTTTTACTGTCTTCCCTTGTCTTCCCTTGTTTGCTCGTGTCATTTATGTTCTTTGGTAGGGTCGTGCTTTTTAATGTTCTGATTTTTTTTCTGTTGTAAATTTTTGCCATCCCAATTTTTCACTTTCGTTTTAAATGTCTTTTTTAAATCTTTTAAATCTTAAATTTGTTAATAACCTCACTTGTGTATTTATTTGTAATAATTGTTATACCTTTATAGTAATAAATGAATATAATAATATTGATAATAATTTTTATACTTTTATTGTAATAAATGAATATAATAACAATTGTAATAATTAAATAATAATCACAATACCTTTTTGAATGAATATTTAGAATGATTTCCTGTTTAATGTACTTTTTGGTCAATTTTTTCTTAATTCAGTTTTTTTATTTATTTTTTTTTTATTTATTACTTTCTTGCATAATACATACATAACATAACACAATATAATACAAGACAATTGTTCAGGAGAAAAAAATTATTATTATCATCATTATTGTTATTATTATTAATAATAACAACAATAATACTAACAACAATAACAAAACAGTAGAAATAATAATAAGCATGCCATTGAGTTTACAATACCGCGGGGAGATTCAGTTCAAGTGTCTAAGTATATCTTTATAGTTTTCTAGTCGGAGTTTTAGATCCTTGAAATAAGGTACGTATTAAATTTTGTAATTTACAACTATAGATATAATATTTAGTGAACAATATGAAAGAATTAACAATTGGTGGTAAATCAGGGTCTCCAAAGCAGATACTTTTTGTGTCAAAGTTAATTACTGTATTAGTTTCTGTCACAATGGGATTGTGGACGAGGGTTATTTTTGTTCATACATACTTTTTATATATACTTTTATAGTCAAAATAGAGTATTGACAGTTAATTTTGTTCATATGTGCTTTTTATATCTTTTTTATGCTGAAAGTGCTGTGGTATGACGTGAACAGTACAGTAGGCGGTTATATAACGTTATGAAGTTTGTTAAGGTATTGTATTGATTGTGTGGAGACTGAAAGTGGTGTGGTATGGGGTGAAGAATAGGGTTATGCAATGTTATGAAGTGAGAAGCTGGTAGAAAGATTATGCAATGTGATGTGGTGGAATAATGGGATAGAAAAAAGGGGTTAGTGTTGGTGGAACTGCACTGAGAGAAGGTCAGAAATGTTAGCTGACTGTTTGTATGTCCTGTGTGGACTAAATGGAGATTGTAGCAGCACTAATAAAGTGTGGCCTGGTAGAGAAAAGCATCCTGTGTGGATCAGAGTTTGTATGTATTATACATTATTCTACAGTGAATATTATATTATTCATGCTACCAATGTGCGTGTTCAGCTACTAATGTTATCCTGTGTGGATTAAATTTATGTCTACCCCGTGTGGATCCGAAATAAATGCAGTATCCTTTGTGGATCAAACAAAATAAGTGCAGAATCCTATGTGGAACACCAATAATAAAAATGATGTATGCAGTATCCTGTGTGGAACTGAATGTGTGAACAGTTCTGTTGCAAGAAATAATTAGCATGGGACCAACGACCAAGGTAGCGACTCAGTATTGTGTCTGTTAAAAGTTAATTGCGAATTATGCGTGCCATGGGAAAAAGAACCGTGTATTGGCGACACTAGATCGTGTACGCGTTTGTGGACAATAAGAACGAACGGTGTAGTAAGAGTTCTGTTTTATTTTCTTTATTGTGTAATATTTTTGGGGGGGGTTTTTTTCCCAATTATTTGATAATTTATTTAATGTACCATCAAATCAAAGAATTAAAGGTACTTATAGAACAAACCATGTGTCCTTCTTGAATCCGTTTTGTGACAGTTTCATTAAAGATGAAATCTTTAGTAGTTTCCCACAAAGACTGATTCTACACTCAATATTACAAAGATGTGTAAAAGATGATCTTTTTCCTTATTACAGAAAGAACATAGTTCAGACTTTACCAGACCAATCTTATACAATTCTACATTGGTGAAAACGATTCTATGCATAAATTTAAATTGAAAAACTTTAATTTTATTATCGATTGGCAGTTTGTGAAGTACTCAGAATATTTTTTAATGTTCAATATACCCATTTCGGACCATTTTTGTTCTATTTCATTTACATCAGTACCAATACGCTCCACAATGGAATGATGCACGTTGTTACAAGTTTTTTTTGCATTTAAAAACAGATTCACACCTATAAATATCAACGCATTCATTTGTTATTTTCGGATTTTCTTTGAGTTTAATTCTCCAAGTCATTGGGACGGAATGTCGGATTGCATTATACAGAAGAAAATCAATTTTAATTTGAAACTAGGATTATAACTCATTTTGTGGAAGGAATGACCCCTCGATATTTGTTATATTTTTTATAGTGCGAATTCCAGCATTCCACCAGTGACTTTGAATTTTAAAAGCTCTATTAACAAAACAACAATTATTCAATAAAACTTGACTGTAAATCTCATTTGCAGTATCCTGGTTCGGTAAAAAGTGATATTCACTCCAAGCTGATAATACATCTTTTTAATCCAGATAATTGGTTAACAATACCTGACTTATTAGAAAAATTACATGTGAAAATATTTCTTCCACCGATAGATTGTAATTCAGAGGTAAAGAAGGTTTTCCACTTGGCATCACTTTCATCAAGTTTCATCAACGCTTAATCCAGCAAAGTTTGAGAGAATATATAGGTTAGTATGTGTGGCATCTTTAAACCTCCTTTATCTAACTTATTGTAGGCCTATAAAGTTTTTCTTTTTAATTTATCCGGTATTCCATCCCAAAGGAAGGCAAAAAACATATTTTGTACTCTGTTGATAAATTCTGTAGACTCAGGGTATTGGTAGATTTGAGAAGTTATACGATAAAATCGGTAAAAGCCAAAGACTTTATTATCAAAACTTTTCCAATTAAGGATAGATTTCGTTTTTTCTATTTTGTCTAACTTGCTTTCGAAATTAAGTCCAAATAATTGATCACCGTTGCCAGAAACGTGTACTCCCATGTATTTTATAGGCCCATCCGTCCAATTAATATTTTTGTTACATTCGACTTTAAAGTCGGTATTATTGAAGGAACCAATTCTAAGAACGTTACTTTTGTCAAAATTTACACGGAGAGCGGAATATTTACTAAAACTTATCAAGAATCTCTTTTGCCATATTAAGCGTTTGTTCATTAAAAAAAAAAACACTGTATCATCTGCTAACTGGTTTATTCTGATATCAATACCTTTAAATGTGATGCCTTTGAAACACTTTATCTTGTCTAACTGACAAACCCAAAATCTCTGCTGATAATATAAATAGATAAGGGGATAGCGGGCAGCCCTGTCTTAGCCCTCTTGATAGGTTAAAATAATTGCAGGTGAAACCATTGTTAATTTACGCAACTAGAGATATCATTATGCATTACTGTGAACCATCTTTTAATCGCCTTACTAAAGCCAAATTTGTCCAGTGCTTTTCAACAAATTTCCAATTCAAACGATCAAAAGCTTTTTCTAAATCTACAAATAAAAGCAGGTTATTCAGACACTTATCTTTTGCATTTTTAATTACGTCAAGTACTAATCTGATATTTTCCTTGATGTAAACCCAGTTTGGTCTGAATTAATTACGTTTGGCAATGCTTCTTTCATATGTTTGGCAATTATTTTGGATAACATTTTGTAGTCTACATTAAGCAAAGATATTGGCCGCCAATGTTTTAGTTAATGTGGGTCTTTACCTTCTTTTAGGGATTAATTATATTACTCCTCTACGTTGAGATGTTGACAACTTGCCTATTTGGTTTGAATATAAAAATATACTTACTGAGGATTTTTTTACCAGAATAATTTATAGAATTCTGCCGGCAGACCATCTGTACCCGGGGTTTTGTTATTCTCTATTGACTGAATGGCTTCTATATATTCTACTTCAGAAATATATTAAAATTACATTTCTCTGAGGGATTTGGTTGGATTTTATCATTCTGAACTGTATTCATAAATCCAATCGTATCCACTATTATTATCACTTTCAGTATAAAGTTGTTTATAAAAAGTTTCTCCTCATTTAAGATTTCTTTTGGGTCTGTTACTTCTTTACCCTCCTTTTTAAGTTTTGTTATGTTCTTTTTATTGTAATTTCTTCGCTCTAAATTAAAAAAATACTTAGTGCATTTTCCACTAGATTCTATCCATCTGGCACGTGATCGAATCATAGAGCCTTTTGCTTTGCGATCATAAATATCATTTCTTTCTTTTTGTTTGGCCACATTTGGAAACAAAATTAATAATTCATCAAAATTTTAGACCTAAACGGCGCCCTCTGTGGATATAATTTTTCTAATCAGCTACAATGACATTTACCTTTCTTATCTTGCATTAAACACACGGGTTGGTAATCAGTGGACAGACATTCTCAATGCAATGGCCTACAATACCAAATATGTATTGCTGGGGTTCATATACGTATTCGTAATTTCATGTTTTGTTTTTGAATACATGTTTTCAAGAAAATTGTAAGTACTGTATTACCAATTAAGGTACCGGTAGGTCTTTAGTAGGTATATTTTAGTAGTTAAATTCATTGCTTTCCATTAGGTATATGGCAGATACCGGCGCGATAAGTAGGCCTATATAACTATTCTATTCTATTCTATTTCTGTTATTCAACATTGTCCTGGGGAAGAATTAAGTGGGGGCCCCCCATGTGTGGTCTGCCCAAAACGCTTCAGAGGTTAATTTTAGGTGTCTAAAAAACGAAAATTTCGCGGTGGCACCCCCCCCCCCCCCCCCCCCCCCCCCAAGGTGGTGTTTTCTCGATCGGCCACACTTTCGCCTATTTTTTGGACATCTCTTGATCCGCCCCTGCTGGCTGAGCAAATAACCTTGAGCAGGTGGAAAAAAGGAGGTAGTTTTGTCACTTTTTCTCCCGATTTTTAAATATTCAAAAATCTATATCTATAACTGTTCCCAAGTTTTTCGTCAAATATGCTTTTTATGTCATAAAAAAGTCAGTTCAACAACATATCAAAATGTTGGTGGTAGGGTACCGGACAACTTTGGGGTTAAAGACACTGAACGAGTATAGTTCACACATGCTATGATCATCTTGTTTGATAGATACCGGCGTTATACAAATAATTAATATACCTATTTTTTATTATTATATTTTGTTGTTTATTTTATTCAATATAAAATGTTGATTAGAGGCCTATCTAGCATAGTCTTATATCCTGTTGCTTACATCCGTTCTTGTGTACCTTTCGAAATACACTGACTTTAAAGTCATGTGCTTGCGTAGTCTACCCACTTTGCTGTTATACAGAAGCTTTTTAAACATTAAGCAGTTTTCGCCGCACGACGTTAACCTTAACGTTAACGGACGACGTCATAATTTATTCTTCTTGCGTTGCGGAGTACGTTAATTTCAGGATTTTACGTGCTCGACGTACGTTAGTTACGGGTTTGCGCATGCGTATTTCGATTTGTTTACAAAAGGGGCGGAACTATCGCGCTTCATGTTGGGTATTAACGTTAAAGTTAAGGTTAACGTCGTGCGGCGAAAACTAGGCCTACCTAATATCTCTAAAATTAACGTTATGCGGAGACGATGGCTGTAGTGCTTATCGATCTAATTCTTTCTAAATGACTCAATATAGTATCTTGCATCCAAGTGTTGAATGAAACGTTTCTGTTTATAATTATTGATAATGAATCTGGTATAATTCTTTCCAGAAACAAGAAAGACGTACAGCTGTAATGTTTCATAGTAGGAACAGATAAAAAAAAAACACATTACATTAGGAAAATCCAAAGACATCCCTAGATTTAAATGAGTTAATTGAGAGTGAGTGTTTGACATCAAATGGTAGTTTGTTCCAGACTTTCGAGCCAACTAGATGATATGATATAATATGATGATAGATGATGCCATTTTACATTAGGGGTTGAATATGTGTTGATTTGACACATTAGGGAATTGTCCCAGTCCCTTAATAGGTGTTCTTGTATTGTTAAATATAATTATATTTCTCCTCCTTCCACGAAAATCGTTTCTTTAATATAGTTCATTGTCATCTGAAAGGAGGGGTTCTACTGGTTGACTGTTGGCAGTGGTGGGAAATGAAGTTATCAAGATCAAACCTAATATCTTTATTTTTTAGGATGCGGGTAACAGATCACATGATAAGCAGTTATATAAAATCGAATACAAGTGAGAAATTTATAAATACTTCACGATCGCGACCGATCAGCATTGATTGGAGTGGTATCAGCATGACGGCAGTAAACAATTTGAGGTATTTTTATTTTTTGTTTATTATTGTTTTGATTATTACAGTAAAGTCTTATATTTTCGATGATTGTAGGCCTACCATCAGGCTAAGTAATACTGTCAACTGGGCCGCCTAAACCTATGCGGTATCTTCTAACCCAAACGGAAAGCCTTGAATATGGAATTCAAACCCACACATAATTACAGAACCACCCGCTATATTCCCAAGACTCATCCAAAAACCCGGACAAACCGATGAATCCGGACAATCTGACGGGAACCGTTATTCTAATGTAGGCCCGCAGATGTTAGAGATCTGGTAACACAGATTTTTTCCATAATACATACGATCACCAATCGCCTTTTTAATAGCATATTAGGTCTCGTACAGTAGTTGATAATAATGAACTTATAAGTATATACAATATACAACAGTCATGTATGAAAAAAAAACACACACACATTCTGACTTGAACAGCTTTTCTCAATAGGTTTAATTTTCTGTTGTTATGTTGTTTCTTGTGTTTTTTTACCAAAAGAGATCTTTGATTGGCGGGAGGCCATTATATCTTATTGCGCAGTATGCTTATTAGCTCCTCATCTGTAATTGGCTGCCATTAATAGCGCGTATCTCTCTCCATTAGTTAGAATGTAAACTTGTAAGGCTTGTGTTGCAAACGAGGGTTGTTTTTAATTGATGATGCATTTCTTGTATTGTTGATACAGGAAAAAAATTAAGAAATACTTTGATGGAAAGTTGGCAGTGATTGTGTACAAGCGAACTGCGTCGGTGGATGATATGATATTCCAGACAAATGTCACAGAACTAGAAAAAACAAATGTTACTGAATATCTACCGCACCAGGATACGTGCGCTTTAATCGGTAACTCTGGAATTTTATTAAACAATTGTTGTGGACGCGAGATAGACGCGCACGATATTGTGGTTCGTGCAAATTCAGCACCAACTGCTGGCTACGAACGTGACGTTGGGTATAAAACAAGTTTGATGATGTTTAATAAGGCCTCCTCGCTGGAGGTGAAGAACTCGATGGGAAGAAAACCTTTACCTAAATCTAAGAACAAAACACAGATGTTCATGGATTTCAATGATACAATTGTGTGGTACTCCTTGATGTCAGGTGGTCGTGGTACACAAATATTGAAGTCAGCCTTCAGTAAATTATCAAGAGATAATATAAGGGTTGCATACTCCATCAACCCACCTATGGCAATATCAAAAAGGTGACATATTTTTTTTAACCAGCAATAGACAAGTACTTAATTCATCGTGGAGGCTCGGATTCCAGTTACCCGCTGCTCAGTCGATAGGTTTATGGTATAGACAACCACTATGGTATAGACAACCTCGAACATCAATCGATCTCTTTTATGACATTGAAGAAATTATTCTCAAGATCGAAAACATGAAGGTACTGACTATATGATTATGGGGGATCTAAATTGTGATAATTATGTTCTCATTAAACCCTCATTGTTACACAAACAAATTAGTAGAGTTGTGTACAAATTTCAATCTTAAACATGCAATCAATGAACCTACCCGAATAACAAATATCAGTTTAACATTGATTGACGTCATGATTTTGAATAATCCAGAAAAGATACATTCATGTAGGTATGAGTGATCATTCTATGACATATGTTATCTTTGGCAAAAAACAAACGTCCGAAAAAGCAGTAATAATAATAAATTAAAAAAATTATCAAAAACACCGATATAAGACATCACGAAGTTTTAAAAAATTTAATGAAAGAGATTTTCTATCTGGCCTCTTATCTGCTGATTGGAATAGTATACTAGAAGATGGCAATATAAACAAAAGTGCCAAATTATTCGAAAATATTTATGTAAATATTAACAAGCACGCACACTAAAAAGGTGCGTAAAACAACTGCACCTTGGCTGACGGACGAAAATATCATAATGATGCGTAAGCGTGACAAACTCAAAGCGAAATTTCACAAAACGGAAGATGATAATATATGGAACGAATACAAAAAATACAGAAATAAATGTATTCGTAAAAATAAAGTCGATCATGTTAAAAACGGTATTAATGAAAGTAGAAATGATATGAAAAGAATCTGGAGGACAATTAGAAATGTTATTTCTAATAGTAAACGCAAACAGTGTATTCAGAAAATCAAGGAAGGCGATAAAACTTAAATTACCTTTCAAAGTATAGCGAATGCCATAAATAAATACTTTTCTGATATTGGACCAGCCCCCGCGGAGAAAATCGAAGAACCCCATAGTAGTAAATTTGACTATACAGAATTTTTTATTTTCTGGCGACTTCGTTATTGAATAATTAAATAGTCTCCCAATAAACAAAGCAACTGGCTACGACGAAATTCCTGCTAAAATGCTGAAAATTGCATCACCACTAATTGCGCCGATAATCACATACTTAATCAATCATTCATTCACAACATGTTCTTTTCCAGGAAAATTGCTAAGATTACACCAGTGTTTAAAAATGGTGACCCCTCAAACCCAGAGAACTACAGACCAATATCTATCCTCCCCAGAATTTCAAAAATAATCGAAAAATCCGTTCATGATCAACTTCATTCTTACTTAAACAAAAATAATTTACTTTGTAACTCTCAATCAGGCTTCAGACCATCTTACTCAACATCCACTGCTCTCATCAATGTCACAGAGAACTGGTATAGTGGAAGATGTGTGTCTTTTTTTCCGAATATGTCATTAAATTAATTTAAAAGAACTTTGACTGGATAAGGATAAAATATCAAAATACAAATAAACAGTAGTATGAAATTATTAATAAAATAATACAAATTGCATATTTAGTAAATAGAATCAAAAAGTCAAATGCAAAAAAACGAATGGGGAGATAGCAAATCAGTAAATTTAACATTTCTAAAATATTCTTCTGTAATTCTTTTAAATTAATTTAATGACATATTCGGATTTTTGTGATCACACTTTAAATTATTCCATAAGATTGACCTTTTTTTTAAATGCTGCGTGTAATATATTCGGTTTTGGGTTTTTTCGGATAAACAGATTTGAATTACCATGACGAAAATTATAATTGGGATTATTGTATTGAAGTAAATTTTTCAGGTATGTTGGTGATCTTTAAGTTAAAATTTTAAATACGATTATTAAGCATTCAAGTTCGCTTCTTTTTGTTAAAGATACCCAGTTTGCTGAATTCAGTGCTTCTGCACTGGGGGCGTCCCAATTTAGACCACATGTAATTCTTGCTGTCCTATTTTGGATAGTTTGTAATTTTTTCATGAATGTTAATCCGCAGTTTCTTCATACAGAAATACAATATGTTAAATGAGATATAATAATGGCATTAGCAATATTTATTAGAATTCCTTTTGGGAACATACTACGGCATCTAATTAACATATGAAGGCCTTTTAGAGCCTTTTCTCTGATAAGGGTAATATGAGATTCCCATGTCAATAATGCATTAATACACGATCGTATCGTCGGCATACATGCTGAATTTAAATTTATCGCACTGGGAAGATCTTTTATATAAACTAGAAGAGCGAGGGGGCCGATTATCGACCCTTGAGGGACGCCGCATTTACTAGTTCGGGAATTGGATTTAGTAATACCTATTTCGGTGAATTGAATTATTTCAGATAAATAGCTTCGAAACCATTTTAGTGCATAATTACTAAGACCGTACATTTTTAATTTATTCAAAAAGATCTCGTGATTGACCGTATCAAATGCCTTTTTGAAATCTAACAGACACACATCTTCCCTTTATCCATGGCACTATACCAGTTCTCTGTGACATTGATGAGAGCAGTGGATGTTGAGTAAGATGGTCTTAAGCCTGATTGAGTGTTAAAAAGTAAATTATTTTCGTTTAAGTAAGAATAAAGTTGATCATGAACGTCTTTTTCGATTATTTTTGGAATTCTGAGGAGGATAGATATTGGTCTGTAGTTTTTTACATGATCGACTTTATTTTTACGAATACATTTATTTCTGCATTTTTTGTATTCGTTCCATATATTATCTTTCGTTTTGTGAAATTTCGCTTTGAGTTTGTCACGCTTACGCATCATTATGATATTTTCGTCCGTCAGCCAGGGTGCAGTTGTTTTACGCACCTTTTTAGGGTGCGTGCTTGTTAATAATATTTACAAAAATATTTTCGAATAATTTGGCACTTTTGTTTATATTGCCATCTTCTAATATACTATTCCAATCTGCAGATAAGAGGCCAGATAGAAAATCTCTTTCATTAAATTTTTTAAAACTTCGTGATGTCTTATATCGGTGTTTTTGATAATTTTTTTATTTATTATTATTACTGCTTATTCGGACGTTTGTTTTTTGCCAAAGATAACATATGTCATAGAATGATCACTCATACCTACATGAATGTATCTTTCTGGATTCTTTAAAATCATGACGTCAATGTTAAACTGATATTTGTTATTCGGGTAAGTTCGTTGATTGCATGTTTAAGATTGAAATTTGTACACAACTTTACTAATTTGTTTGTGTAACAATGAGGGTTTAATGAGAACATAATTATCACAATTTAGATCCCCCATAATCATATAGTCAGTACCTTCATGTTCGATCTTGAGAATAATTTCTTCAATGTCATGAAAGAGATCGACTGATGTTCGAGGTTGTCTATACCATAGTGCTATAATCAATGGTTTACATTTATCCCTTATCGGTGATGAGCTCTAAGTGGTCTTGCATAAGGTCCTTTCGAATTATGTGATTAAATTTATGAGATATATATAAGGCCACGACTCCTCTTCTGTCATTTTTTTTTGTCATAGCACTGTTTAGAAAGTTTCACTCAAACCTAGAACATCAATATGATTATTATTTAAAGTACGTTGTGATTCTAAGGTATGGGTAATACATGTTAAAATGAGCGACGATAAGGCCATTGTTATGATTGAGTGGATCAAAAATGTCCTGTGGTTTTTGGCATTTATTTACCACTGGACAAACACAGTAGAATATGAACTATTGGAAAGTGTACTAAATTCCCCACAGGCGTTAGTAGATAATCAGTATGCAGAATTGATTTGAGCTGGGTACTGAGAGTCATGAGACTGGTGATGTTTGTATGAATCTTTGCAAATATCCTTATAATAATAGTTACCATTGTAAAAATGATAAAAATTGCAAAATCTGTCTTTGTGACCAATCCTGTGACAGGTTCTGTTCTCTTTTTCTGACTATAGTCTTTTACTTGATTGGTGGTGTATAGGGGATTGGTGGTTCTTGTTTATCCTGTTTCCATGATGATTTCCATTTCCATGTTTTTTCTCTGTTCGCTGGTGCTTGTTATCTTTGTGGATGCCTGGGGATTTTTTGAAAATTCGTTAAATAGATTAAGTGACTGAACACTCTCGACGAAATATTCACATAGGCCCTAGCAGTTTGGTTCCTTTTTCGCTTAAGTGCAGACCATCACATAATATGGTGACATCAAGATCCATCCAGGTACACACATTTTGGATTAACATTTAAAAAAAGAACAGTAGAGACTCAGCGCTGTGTCTCTAAGAATACGGTACTATTTATATTAGTAAGTTCTTCCATGTGTGAATTCCGTGGACATATAGCTGAAATGTGCAGTTTTGTGGTCGGTGCCTCTACCTCACTAAGGTTATAAGTTTTTCCATTGATGGTTAATTTGATGTTGGATGGATCGTTTGAGTTATCAACGTCGTTGTGCCGATATGAACAATTATGTCAGCATATTGGCTTATGTCGGTTGACTTGAAGGTATCAATTATTTCCTCAATTACTGCTCCTCTTTTAACTATCACATCCGCATGTTGGAACCATGCTTCACTTACATCTCTCAGTATTGAGTCACCTATAATCAGAGTTTTACGTTCGACACTTGATGATGTAGTTCGGCTTAACCTTTGGATATCGAGCATAATAGATTTTTCTATTAAGTTTTTTGTTTTCTTCCTCAGTGACGTTTGGCGCTTTTTGATATTGGAATTTACAGTACTCAACGTTTTCACCGTGGACTGCAGAATATCATTTGCGATTTGAGGTCGTGTACAATGTATTTAACGTCTTTAGAACAAGTCAGGCAGACTCATTCAGTAGTTTTGGGACGCTTTTTTAATTTAGCGCAAGAAAGGTGGTATTGTTGAGGCAGTTATTGCACTTTACTAAGGCACCTTTTATGGTAGTGTTATTACAGTTTTCAAAATCACATTTAGATTTTT